TACTCATAATAAGATCATAGTGATGATGTTTTCTTTGCTTCCTCCAGAGTTCTTGATGTCACTCCACCTGCTCCACTTTCCCACAGGCAGCATACCACCAACTGAACTTTTTGTAGGGGTTTGCCTTAAAGGAAGAGTGCTCATGCACCTGTACTAGAAGAACACCATCAGATATGTTCATTAGTTACCTTTAAGCTTGTCTCACAAAGGCAGAATTGCTTGACATTAAGAGTGAAATTTTGGTATCTGGACTACTGGCTTTAAGGCACTGGCTACATAGATATATATATATGTACATACCTATACACCTATATACACATGTATATACAAACACTTGCAATGGCCATGATGGTTGCTTTCAGAACAAGCACACCCTCAGATGTCTGTTTTTATTTTTTATTTTTTGAACATATAGACACATTCCATCTGATCCTGTTACAACCTACATGTATTTGAAGTAAACAGCTCTTATAAGCACAAATTCTTTGTACTCTGGTTCCTTTTTTTTTTTTTTTTTTTTTTACTCATATAAGTTATCTGAAATTGTCAAATGCATATATTTAAGATCTACATCATTTCTTGCATGATAGATGTTAACTATTTAATACAAAACAGAAAGCCCTCAAATATTGTAATGATGAGCACTGGTAATATAAGAACACATACAAGCCAGCACTGGCCATTATTTATCAATACACTCAACCTTTATTTCTTCTGTAAGATACAACAGTGCAAACCTGAACTTTGTAATTAACTTTAGCAGAATTTACACTAATAAGAACTATCATAGTCTGTCCTCAGACTATAATAATCTTATTCTGTGATTTACAGAAGAAATACATACATTTACAATGATGATTCTGATTATTACTTCCAAAAAGATATCCAAAACACAAGAATAAAAATATTTTTTGAAATTTCCTTTTTTTTTTTTTTAAACTGAGATTCTGCCATGAAGCCAATGCCTACTTGAATGACAAATAGTGCTGGATTTAATAAAACAAAATACAAGAATACGAATTGCCTTTTCAACATGCAAAAAAAAAAAAAAGTGACATCATGACATTTAATTACTCTATAAGAAAATGACTAGTAACCAAGCTAATAAAACTATATAATATCAGCTCCCTGAGGAAATACAAACTATGAGGTAAGTACAGCTAATTGAATGGTATCATAACCTGAACACTTCTGCAATAATCCCTGAGTAGCTTCTCATCTGGGTAACTCAGAGACCTAATTTCACAAATGCATTTTTTTTAAAAGAGATAAGAAAACTCATTCTGCAAAGAACCGCCACTGAAATCATGTCTGCTCCAAGCAGAATATTCTATTCTCGTCTGTAGCAGGCTACTCAGTTATTACTGTTTTCTTTCCCTTATGTACTCACAGCTACTAATCATCTGCATCCAAATACCATGGCTGTAGTCTATACAACTGACACTTCAAATATTTAGCTTTGAAGATTAATGAACATCAGATTATATCCAACCTCTAGGACAGGGACCAGGCTGAAAGTCAAAGAACTTCAGATTTGATTACACAATAAGCACTCACATTTATTGATTCTCTTCTAAGGCAAACAACAATTTTTACAACAAGCACCTATTTAACTTCATACTCCCAAGCATATACAGATGACTTCCATTCACAAATAAAAAAATACTCACATTCATGTGTGTGTACACTATTAGATGTGAATATCTTGTACAAGTTCTTTTCAGTTCCCTCACCCAATAGAGTAAGACTAACATCTCATTCTTTTAAAATTTTCCTCTCTTCCTGGCTGCATTGTTAATCAATGGAATTAATATAGATATGATGTTTTAAATCAGTTGAAAATATAATGTAAATGTTGGACATCATTCATGTACATATACATACTGGAATGTGTGTTTGTATGTATGTACACATACACATTCCCATATATGCATATTCGTGTACACATACACCCCTATACATATGTATCTATTCCTGTATATATGTATATATCCCAAGAGGAAGAAGGCATCTGACTCCTTCAGTTCACTATCAAATTAGACTACACCATTATAAATAACTGAAGAAAAAATATTATCATACAATTTACATGCTGTGCCTATGTGTTCTAAAATCAAAAATAGTGTGTTCAGAATTTAACACGACACCATTAATACTTATGTAATTTTATACAATGCCAACTCAACATCTGCTCTTACAATTTTTCTGCACTCAAAACTTGCAATTTAATATTTCACCCTCTGAAAATACGAAGTGCAAGGAATACATCTGTCTTTTTCTCAGTGGTCCCTCAAAACAAATCCTATGCTTTCTCTCAGTTCCTTGATTTTTTCACCTCTCCCTATGGAAATAAAATATTTGCAAAAGACAGATGCTATGGATTTAGTGGAACTTTACCCTGGACAGTGAGAAATGCACCTTGTTTTCTCTCTCCTTACCAATGTTACTACAAAGCTTTTCTTCTGGAAATTTCTAATATTTAACATCAGGAAAATCAAATTTTTCCCCCCTCCTCTAAACATTTCTAAGTATATTTAATAACTTCACTTATATACTTTTCAATAGGATTGAATGCTTAAAGATACATAAGTATTCAACAGTTTTTGCTTAACACATCTTAAAGGTAGGTAATGTTAAAAAAAAAAAAAAAGTTTGGCAGTGGCATGGCAAACAGTTGTGAGTCACACTCTGAGTCCTTAAAGATATATAGGAATGTTTGCTTTTATTTGCCATCTTATAATTTTATGTTACAGTAACTGAAGAACCACGTGAAAAGGTTGCAAAAAAAAAAAAAAAATCCAGCAACTTTAATCATTTTATTCTACTGAGGATCAGATAACCTAATTAAGCATATTTCACTCAAAATGAAAATGGCTTGGTTATGACTGGCTCGGCTTTAAGCAAGTGTTATCTTATCTACTGGGAAACTGAATCTAGCTTAGCTTCAATTCCTGGAATAAAACTGGAATAAATAATCAAACAGATTATTCCCAAGCATGTAGATAAAACATGAAAATGTAGTACAACCAATGCCAATACATCAAGAGTGAATGTCATCAGACCAAACTTCTTTTTAATTTAGGAAAGTTTTTCTCACTGTCACAACTTCCTTGTAAACCATTATGGAAGCATAGTTCACCTGTAACTACTGTTAGGTGAGTGCAAATGGGTTGGGAAATCCTATAGATACACACTGGTTATCGGTAAGTCACTGTCAGAAAAAGGCACTCAGTAAGTTGCCACCGGTCCCTGTCCTAGGTACAGTATAATACTTAGTATTTTTTATTAAGGATCTCTATTACAGAATCAAAAGATTATTACATGTTCAAATGATATCAAACTGGGAAGAAAACAAAGCATGTTGAAAAACAACATCAGAAGTCAAAAACAATCTTGACAATTTCTAGTAACTATCTACAAAATACTCTGTGCAAAAATTAACAAACAAAACGTATTTATAACAGGCAGGAATAACTGGTGATCCCAGAATGGCAAACTGAATACCTAATTAACAGTTCTTCAGAAAAGAATTTAGAAATTACTCAAGTTCATGAACTGAATATGTTCATTTTAGCATAAGTTGCATTCTCAATGTGGATGTTATACATGAAAATACAAATAACTGCGCAACTTGGAAGAAAAGTAGTTCACTCCATTTTATCTATCACTGGGGTATGAACTCCAATTTTAAAACTGAATCCAGTTCTGGGTGTTGCAGGCAAGAAAGATATGACAGATACAATTCCAGTTCAGAGGAAACAGCATGAATGACTACCAGTCTAGAAGACATGAGGAAATATTACGTTGGGATTTTTCAGCTGTAAGAGAACATGGGAGGAAACAAATAAATAAATAAAGTCACAACAAAAGTTTACGGATTTTATGTTTCATGCCCAAGTTTTTCCTGGGGAAAGGGGGAAGCTAGGCCATTATTCAAAACATACCCATTCTGTCAGCCATTTACTAGAATTGCATTATTTATACAAAATATTTCAGTTTCTGTGGATTTTTTTTTCCCTGAGAAAAGCCATTCTAGCTGAGAAACCGAGCACAAGCTGTGCTCAGGTTTGGGAACATTTTCAACCCATGAAGTAACACCTCTAAGCAAAAAAATAATGACCGTGCAAATCACATTTGAATAAATTGTTAGGAGAAAAAGTGTATTCAGTAATTAACACTGGAAGATAGGTTTTATTCAGTTGCTTGAGTCTCTTGATATAATACAAAGATAGGAAAATCTTTTTCATACACGTCTTGTTATACACAACACAACCCCTTCCGCCATTAAAGGTAATGTATTATTTTTAAAATATGGAAACAAAGGTAACAGTTACCTTAATTAATACCTTATATCACTTTCAGAGATTCACAGTTTGAAGATACAGACACACAAATGGAGAAATGGAGCTTAAGGTAAGGTATAAAGCTGAAGCAAACATCACTATGGCAGTCATATACAAACATCATGTGATCCTCAGGTAAGAGAAACAGAAGATTTTTAAAAGAGTACCAAAAAATGTAGTCTGTTTTATCCAACTGTAAGTTTTCCATCGAGGCAGAATTAAACTAAATTATGTGTTCATACCTTTTTTAAATCAAACTAGTTTGTATAAAAACAGATGCCACTCTACTTAGCCACCTGTGGCCTGAAGCAGCATTACCAGTCCTTGTCAAAAATACACAAAAGGAAATACATTTAACACAGAGGACCTCTGTTCTAAATGGATGTTCCCTTTAAACTTAGGCTTTGGTTTTCATCTGACTGAATACTTCCAACTGTTCATGGAAAGTAAACAGGGAAAATTGGTCTATGAATAATTACAGACTTTGTCTATTTGCTACTCCAAAAATAAGAATTGAAATAGCTTTTAAACTTCTTTTAAGTTATGGTTGCAAACCAATTTTACACAGAAATACAGTGCCCTGTAACAAAACACAAATTACCAAATAAGACCATCTTAATGCTGACACAACGTAGCATTACGAGCTCAGTGACTTACCTTGTTCCTCACTGATGAGGCCCGCGTGTGCGTGTGCTTGTGCTCGTCTTTTCCCGCCATCAGTTTTTATTAGTTGAGCAGTGTTAAAGCATCGTTCATAAAAGTAATTCCTTAACCATTCATCCTCAGGGTCATTGAAACAGTAGGCCAAGTTAAGCTGGTTATCATACACCTCCCCATAGTGCCCTTTAAAAACAAAAAATAGTCAAAATGCTAGTTTTCATCAGCTTTCACAAAGCTTACACATTACAGCAATCACGAGATAATGAAAATGAAGGAGTATTTATACATCCAGCACAAAATACTACCAAGTTCTCCTACATAGCAAGGAAATATGATAAAGGGAAAATGACAACCTTCCAAATTAGGCATAATTGAAAACTTAGTCTAGCAAAACTGCAATGAATTGCTATCACTTGTTTACAAACACAAAACTTAGTTCAATAAAACACACAAAACCTCTATAAGACTCATTTAAAGACAGAAGCCAGAGTGAGCAAAAAGACCCACACATCCAGTTTCTACTGGAGAAGTGTTTGAAGCACTGAGACCTGGAAAGACACCGAATGCTTTCAAAACAGGTCTGAGGTAGCAACCACGATGATGTAGATAAAGAACCAAAGAGAGCACTCTGCAAGTGCCCCCCACTAATTTCATACCATTTAAAATATTTAAAATAAGAATAACAAGAAATGTTTTGAGTTTTCTATCTACTTTCCCATTTTTATTACATTATCACTCTCTCGAATTAAGGACCAACTGCAATTTTACACCTTGACCTGAAAAAGACAGTCCGCCAAGCTATTGCTCTCAGTAAACACGGAAAGCAGAGGAGATTTAAACTCTCAGCTCTCCTTTATGATTTGAAGAAAAAACACATTTAGTTCCCACTGTAACATCCAACAGCCAGCTAAATGAATACATACTATTCCTCATATTTATAAAAACAGTGCGAGTCCCACCTCTAAGTAGCATTACAAAATTATCAACAAATACATTATTTACAATTTAAAATTGCCTATTGAATTTATTTCTCTCACATATAAAACAAAACAAAAACAACCACAAAACCCAAACCACATGAGATTATTCAAAAGACCTATTAATTTTGATTAGAGAACTAAAACTTACCTGGTAACTCTTATAATAGTGCTACTCCCTAGGGGTATTGAAGAATATGTTCCCTACGTGATGCTGAAGAATCTATGAGATAAGAGAGCGTAGCATGTATCTATATGTTTCACTGTAAACTTCTGGTACACTAAATGAATTTTCTTTCCAAACTCTGCTTACATTAGATGTGAATGTGAATAATTCACTAAAATTCCATCGCAGTTTTGGTTTTCTTACTGTGTTTGGGGCTGTGAAGCACAGCCTGTTCTTAAAAACAATTCTCATGTAGTTGGGTAAAGAAGGAGTTAAGAACCACAAGTGCTGCTGCAGGTGAGAGAATGTTTGGATAAGCCAGATGTGTGAACAGAACGGCTTTGCTTTCGGGAGTTCTGCAATTTGTAAGCTTTACTCAACAAAGAGAGAAAAGGGGAAAAAGAAAGAAAAAAAGCTTCTCTTACTTCTGATATGGAGCACCACACAGAAATAAACACGCACACAAAAATACATTAATACATTGATTTCAATGCAGGCATGATCTCACTCCAAGTCCAGATCTTTTCAAAGCACTTTAGATCTACGACATTGTATCAAAAACATTTTTATCAGAGGATGCAGTTATTTTTTTATTTTTGTTTTTTAATCTACAGGAAAAATTGGGGAAAATCCAACTTTCCAGAAGGACTAATTTCATGACTGTAAATTCTATCATCAATATGAATCCCTTGCATTGTTTAGAACACACAGTGGTAATTACTCAGAAAAGTACTTTGCATCTCTAAACCACACAGAGGAGTGCTTCCTCAGCCTCATCTGCAGTATGTTCTGTCTCAAAAACTTCAAGTTACTATTCAAATATATGTAAGTAACATAAAACCCTCATTCATCCCTCATGACATCCCTCATGTCATCGTGACTAAGTTCTTTGACTTCAGAATGCCTTGAAAAAGCCCTTCACTGTGCTTTGTGATGCAGTAAAAACTTTATTCTTCTGAAGGAATTCCTTTACCACCAAATCACATTTGCAACCTTCAACGGATTTATCTAATATTTATTTCTCCTCCATTTTTATCTATTCTGCCCATTCTGGAGAACATCTACTTAATCTTCTGTGTCTTTCTGAAATCAAGCTGAAATGGCTTTGCCTCCATTCTTGAGCACTCACTTTTTTGTCTTCTGGTTTATGAACTAATCCCTCTCCTTCCATGGTAAGCAATGGTTTGGGCTTAATATGCAAAGATAGCTACACACGTGTGAGTGTGTATTGCTGTGCATGTGCTCATATGCATGTATATAGAAACATACATTCATATGTGTGCGTATAAGAGTTGAGATATATAATTGGGATACACTCAACATAACCACTTCAGACATAGCTATATGTTTCCTAGAGTCCCTTTCCAGTCGGTGAAGAACAGCAGATACTGTCTGGCTGTGATTTTCATACCAATTTAAACATCCATTGTGGCACAAGATCATATCCAAAGTAGAAAGCAGAGGTTCCCATGATGATTACAAGCACACAAACATAACCACTTAAACACGAGAAATATAAAAGCTAATTATAATCACTAACTTAATCTAAGGTAATAATAATACACATCGGATATTGATTACAGCAGAGTGAAAATGAACTTAGAGGATATCAACAAATGCTTACAATAACACAGCAAAAGGAAAGAATTAGATTGTCATTGGGGAAGAACACTAGATACAAATTTGTTGCCTTTGAAATCTTTGCTACGATGTACCAAGGCACTAATGCTACATAAAATTATGCAAATAACTTCAGGTAGTGCCCTACAAATCTCAGGAGATGGAACTGACCTGAGGCGGACTATTGCTACTGCCACAGCTTTGATTGAATGAACTTTAATGTGACCCTCCGATGACTATCCTGCCGGTGAATAACAATGAGAAGTGCACAAAGACAACCATTTCTCTGTAATTGTCTTGGACAGTGGCTGACCAGATACGCTGGTGTCACAAGAAAATAAACCCCAAAAGATAGATGTTTAAAAGCCATATTGTCTTCTGGATTCAAAGTCTCTCTGATTTACATATCAAGAAATTCACTGAGATTATTCTGACAGTGGCAAAGCCAGTATGTCAGACTTGGCGAAAGTGAACTTTTATCTCCCCAGGAGAAAAAAAAATATTAGAATAGGTAAATACTCTCTTCTACAGAATCTCCCATAGGTAACACAGTCATTAAAGCTTTGACCCCTCTGATTTTTTACAGTAAGTTCTCTGCATCTGCTAATAGATTACACGTAGAGAAAATTTTTATGTATATATTGATGTAAAAAAAATCTGTACCACTTATCAGAGAGATAACGACACCACTGGAATATGATACCAAATGAGCAGAAAGAACTCTGAGTCACATAAGCAATTGTAAAACAGTTCCTGCAAGACGAACTGTTCTTAAATGAGTAAAAAAAAATATAAGAATGCACACAAATAAAGGTTCAAAAGGTGTTCTCATTAATCTTTTGAAAATTACATCTAGTCCATGGAAGGTGAATCCAGGTTCCCTAGAAGACACAGGATTGAGAGAATGCTGTAAAGAGCAGCAGAACGGCTGCCCAAAATGGTAGCTGAGCAGAACAAACCAAACTTGATGGAGCAGATGGTGAAGCCTAATATTTTGTGGTTTTGGACATAACTTAAAATCCGCTGAGAACACACCTTATAAGCAATTAGCCAGTGTAACATTTTTTTCAATGCCAAATTACCAAATTTAAGGCAGTAATAATAATTCACAAGAATTGAGTACAATTGTTTTTTAAAACAAAAGGTCATCCCATGCTGCAATATTTATTTTGTACATTTTTGAATGTTTTAATCACAGAATTATAGAAAATTTACTTTCCACTTTGTTTGATTTGTACTTTTCAAAATATTTTATTTTCATTGTCCTTTGCAATGGAAAACAAAACAAATCACGTTGAAAGTGGGTATCTATGCGCAAAAGGAAAATATTCCTATCAAACTTTACTGGTATCTTTTTGTTGAAAAGAGATTTAAAAATCTGTTTTCTGCTTAGGGTTCATATACATATATATATATGTAGTTTAAACATTAAACCCTATATATTAAACACATACAGGATTTCCTGCTCTGCATCAGAATCTCTTCAGGTGCATCTCAACTGGCACATAAGGATCTTTTATTGTCATGCTTGATCCATAGCCCCTGGTCAGCCCATTGAATAATATCTTGGTTTGTTCTTGGACTGTTATCAAGAACCCTTGGCAAACAAAAGTGTGCATGGAGCAGATAATTCAGGTCTGTGCTCTGCCTGTTGGCTGTGTTCAGCCAGACAACTGCTGAGTAGTGCAATGCACAGGGATAGTGAGGTGGAGGCTGCGTACGAGTAACAGAATTGGTACGAAAGAAAAGAAGCATATGGAAGATCTGCAAGCTGTGCTACTGTGAAGTGGTTTAGTACAACTGCTGCCACATCTGTCTGTATGATCTCCTTTGTGACAGGATGTAGGAGATGAATTGAAAAGAAGTACAAGAGTGATCTTTAGAATGGAGATGAAAACAACATCCTGAAGAGATCCTGGCTTGGCATTTTCCCTGAAGAAGATGCTGTTGTTAACAGAAAACAGAACTTGTACTTCAGAAACTCACCTTTAAAATACAGGTATCAGAAATAAATATTTCAACATCTATCTCTGGCTGAATATTTTCTACCAAAGGAACCACCAGTCAGTCATTTGTTCCTGCCAGACAAAGGCTGTAGGGAAACTTTTCAACAGCTGATAACACTCCTCTTTCAGTTCAGTTACTCGCTTTTAGTGAGTATGACTTAATTATAACTGACCATTCACTCTTGAAGACATGTCAAGGAACAGCCTAAGATCATTTAAGTCACTAGGAGCCATTTCTGATGTCTGAAAAAGACATCATCACTACTGGAAGTTTCATTTTTCTCTTGCCAGAGAGATCAATACCTGTGACTCAGTAGCAAGACTACTGATGCTGTAAAGAATTCATATACAGAAAGATCCAGGATGGAGGCTCTTGGGCTGATAAGGAGCACGAACAGCAACAGAATATGGTGC